CTCTCTCTCTCTCTCTCTCTCTCTCTCTCTCTCTCTTTCGCTCGGTTTTTTCTCTTTCTCTGCCGTTGATCGCGTTTCCCTTCATTTTTTGTGGCAGTGCTGCGGTTATATCGCGCGAATTGTCAAATTTATCTGTCGAGTTTGCTATCCTTGTATCATCCAGCTCTCTCTCTCCCTCTCTCTCTCTCTCTCTCTCTCTCTCTCTCTCTCTNTCTCTCTCTCTCTCTCTCTCTCTCTCTCGTAAACAGCTTGCGACTCCTTGAAACGGCATGCTCTTGCAAACTCGGCCAAGCGCGCGCGCGCGTTCCGATATCTTGAAGTTCGTTTTTATAAAAGAATCGTACACGTCGGATTGCAGGGAGATGCCTCCGTCAGTGACTCATATCCGCGTAGACGCGCGCACGCCACGCGCGCGCACACTTCACGATTCGTGGCCCCGCGCGCACGAATTGTTTCATTTAGTTTTAGTAATCCCCGAGATCGGTGCCAAGCGAGATCGTGTACTACCAGCGGCGATACCGTCGTCGTTGGCGCAACGCTCGAACGACCTGCACTGCGAGCCAAAGTTCTTCTGATAGATAGACGGACTGGCGGCGCGAGCGAGCAAGCAAGCGAGCGAGCGAGGAGAAGTCGTTGTAGAAAATGTCTAACTCCGTGAGAAAAGAACGCAAAAGAAAAGGATAAGAAAAGAAAAAAAGAACAAACAGCATACTACGCTTCTAATTTTAACCTAGATTTAATGAGACTTATAGTCATAGTTACTCATTTCCTACGAAGGTAGCGTTGGATATTTTTTAGCGTAAGCGCGCGCGCGAGAGAGACTCGGTGCCCGAGCGAGGTCTAACGCCACTTCCGTTCGACACTCGACTCGACACTGTCACCGAGAACTGTCAAAGGGAGCGGGCCTGGTCGCGAGACAGCGATCGCCCATCCTGGTTTCAATCTAGGATATACGAACAAATTACAAACGCAACCCAATTCTCCGAGACCCCGATTTAGCTGTTTTTCTTTTTACCTACGGACCGAAGTCGGACTTATTCGCTTATTGGCTCATGTCGATGTCAGGCCCAACAGTAAGTCGGCCTTCGGTCGGTCATTCTCACCTGTTGTGTACACGACGTTCTTCGCATACGTGAATTTTCGAATCGTTTTTTGTAGTATTCGAACGAACGAAATCTCTTACTGTACGACGGCAGGTTGGTTGTATAGTTAATCGTTTTGTAGTTGGTAACAGCGAAACTTAAACATAAGAGTGCACGCCTTTTAAAAAGAAGCTAGCTTTCATTGATTCAGAAAAAAAGAAAGAGAGAAAAAAGAAGAATGATATTACGAGATACATCGAATGGTGATGATTACTGTTGCGTAGATGATATAACCTTTTTTTTTACACATTATTTTTCTTTTTTTTTTTTTATATTATATAATTTTTCTATTTTACGTATGTGTTGTTATTAAAATCTAAGACCACTGAGTGTTTATATGCTCTGTGATATAATTGATTACGTATACGATACACACATATATATATCTATATATATATGTGTGTGTATATGTGTATATATACACATACACAATATACATATTGATCTTATTTACAATCTGAAGCGCGTTCATTAATGTAGTTAGTGTTTATTAGGCGTTATAAATTACATTTGTGTCATTTATCGATTCAAATTGTTAATGTACGGCATATACGATTGTTTATTTGGTATACGGATACATCGTCGTTTATAATTTCAAGGCGTGGACTTAAGTAGGGTTGTTCGTGCGTGAAGTTGCAATCTGATGTGTGTCAAGTATTCTTTCATCAGGCGCAATGCACTCTTGCGTTAGTTCCCGCAACTGTTTTAGAAATTTTGCAATTAACCACTTAATGTCAAAATAGTTTCCCTTAATTGTAGCAAACATGTTGCTCCTCTCATACTGACTGAATCGACCGATGTATATAACTTTATTACACACGTTTTTTTTTTGTCAAAATTACACCATTTTTATATAATTTATTATGTAAACATGTATATTTGGACTATAAATGAAAATAAAAATTGCAAAAAATATGATTAAAATTCTAATCGACTTGGAATTCTTGACCCTCGAATCATTTTCTGAAACAGTTTTGGGGAAGATTCGGTAATTACTTGTATGTCTGTTTTATTATATGCAATTATTACAATTATCATGCCAAAAAGAAAATACACTCGCTGCTGTTAACGCTAGTACAACGGTGATTGCCCCGGATAGCTTAGAGAATTGGTTTCCTTTTTTTCTCTTTTTTTTTTTTTCATTTAGCTTTGTCGGAAGAATAGAACAGAAATCATCCCCAATACTTCGAAGTAAATACATTAAGCAACTTTTTATAGCGCTGGAATAATTGAGGGACGCTAAGGTAAGTTAGAAAACGAAACGGGCGAGTACCCCCGAAATAAACTCACGAGATTTCGCATTGTGGAAATTGTCGTCGCGTGTATCAGTAGTCTTCTCTGATCCATTAGATAGGTCGCTGTTTCGCTCGATGCTCGGTGATAAAACTCTCAACAAGTAAATTGATTTTTACGACGGTTAATTGGAAATGCCACTAGGGGAGAGCCGACCTACGTTAATTTGCGTGACCATGTTGTCCATTACTGAGCTCACGGTCAAACCATGAAGAACAATTGGAACGTTTTCTTCACGCTTCTCCTCGCGCGCGAACTTACCTAAGTAAGGCCTTGCCTCGAGATCAAAAAGAGAAAAAGACATGCGTGTGCATCATGTGATCACGAGGCGACTGTCGCATTGGATATTCTGGAAGATATCGGAAAAGTGCTTGGTGCGCTCGTAAGATACACACACGGATCTGGCTATATAGCGATAGAGCGAATATGTTTTACTTCTCCTTCGTCGCGATCGGAGCTTGTTTCAGACTCCCGTTACCGCGTCTCGAGACACCACACGCTTCGGAGTAAGACCGAATGTTTTATGCATGTGCTGCTGACGCGCGCGCGCGCTTAAGAGAGCGACCCGCGGGGAAAAAGAGAGTATCGCGCAGTGGCCGCGGAGTATCCTTCGTTGTAGACGAGTGGAAGATCACCAAGCACTGTGTTCGGGATTTGTTCCAGCTAGGAAGCCGACCATAGCGACTCAGATGCATAGCGAACGGGAGCGCGACCGGGAACGCGATCGGGAGCGCGATCGGGAGCGTGAACGCGAGCGCGACGGCAGGGAACGACCGAGCGGCGGCATCGGCGGCGGTGGAAACCCCATCAGCAACAACATCGGCAACCTCGCTGCTGGCGGCGGCAATGCTGCTGCTGGTAGCGGCATCGTCGGCAACACCTTCGGCAATCATCACCAGTCTCGGAAAGAGGAGCAGCAGCAGCTGTCCGCGCCGGTTCCACCGCCGCCAACGTCTTCCGATCCAACGGCAGCGGCCAGCATCTACCATTCTCGCCTGCCGGCTTTCCCGACTCCGGTGGCGTCCATCGGACCCTCCCTGGGCTCGACCCCGTTGTGCTCCGATAACTCTGCGCCCTTAGCGTCCTCCCTGGGCTCCGCTTTGCCTCCCTTGAACCTCGGACCACCGACGGCGGCCATAAGTTCCGCGCGGATCGGTCCGCCGCAGATACCCCCGATACCTACGATACCCACGGTACCTACAGTGCCCTCGATACCCCCCATCCCCTCCATCTCCTCCATCCCGTCTCTAGCACCGAGTGTGATAGGACCTCCACCGCCACCGTCGCTGTCCTTAGGCATGTCTCCTCTTCCGCCCATCATCTCCATCCCGTCGTACCACTTACCCTCCGTGCCCTCGAGTACCCTTCATTCTAGTCAGCATACGACGAGTAGCGTGACCACTACCACGGTCACCACTTCCGTTTACCACCTGCAGCAACAGCACCAACCTCTACCGCCGCCGCCGCCGCAACACCAACAGCAACGCGTGAGCAGTACGAACATCACGACGACTACGAGCTCGATGTCGCACACACCGACGTCGAACGGCTTTTCATTGCTGAACGCGATGCATCACATGACCCTCAAGTCCCCGCCGTTGACGCACGGTTTCTCCATCTCCAGGAGTAAGGAAGTGTCGGTCACGGCGACGGGGATGTTTCCTACGACGACGACGACGACGACGACGACGACAACGACGACGACGACGATGTTTCCCACGACGACGACAACGACGACGACGACGACGGCGACGGCGGCGATGTTTCCCACTACGACGACGACGGCGACGGCGGCGATGTTTCCCACTACGACGACGACGACGACGTTCCCGATAACAACAACGACGACGACGATGACGACGACGTTTCCCACGGCGACAACGACGACTGTAACGACTACAACGACTATGATGACCACGACGACCACGACGGTCACAACGACCACGTCGCAGCCGGCTTTCGTCAGACCTTTCGAGGACTCGTTCCGCCCCTCGACCAAGACGCAGCCGAAGCCAGTGATAAATAGTCATAGTCACAGTATAGCCAATCAGCTCGGTCACCATACGCCGGAGCAGTCGCTATTGAAGTCCCCGTCGATCGCAACGGTCAGTCAACCTGTGGGCAGTCAAGTGATGCCGGAGGGCTCGGACAGCAGCCATGCGAAAGCAGCCACGAGCGGGCAAAAGCCAACGCTCGTCCATCCGATCCCGTACATACCGCAACCGTATCATCCGCACATACCCATCCCGCATGTGCCGAGTCTCTACAAACCGCCGCACTTTTCGTCGTTATCGTCGCTCTCGTCGTCGCCCTTGCCGTCGCCCCTGCCGTCGCCCTTGCCGTCCTCGCCCTTGCCGTCGTCGTTCTCCTCGTCCTTGCTGACGCCGCATCACTACCAACAGCAACAGCTGCTGCAGCAGCAGCAGCAGCAGCTCCACCACCAGCAGCAGCAACTGCAGCAGCAGCAGCAGCAACTGCAGCAGCAACAGCAGCAGCAGCAGCAGCAGCTGCAGCAGCAGCTGCAGTCGTTGATACGGCCGTCGTCGCACCACTCTCAAGGCAAGCTCAACGTACCGACCACCACCACCAGCGACAGCAGCGTCGTCGGCGCGAAGCAGCAGAATAACGCGCACCACGTAAGCGAGTCTCATCCGACGACAACGACCACGACGACGACGACGGTGGTGGCTGCCTCGCGAAACGAGACCAACTGCGTTGCCGCCAGCGAAAAGGCGACGAGCAACAGTGCCGATTTCAGCAACGCGACGGTGGCGGTTACCACCAGCGGCGACAGCGACGGCAATAAAGCCGAGAATGCGATCGTCAGTCCGCAGTCGTCGTGCCAGAATCACGTCGCGACGAATTCGAAGGAGACCCCGAAATCGTGCCAGCCTAACGACGAGCAGTTCCCGCCTCCTTACCCGGATGTCGAGAACAACAAGAGCGCAGCGGTCGATTGTAACACGCAATGCCATCCGAACGTCTTGTCCACATTACCGTTTCAATCACACTTTCAGTTCAGCATATGCGAGGTCGCGCAAAGGCCCATAGAAGCGACGAGTCTGATGCAGAGCATCAAGTCGCAGGAGGTGTTGCGCACCTGCCAGAACGTCTCGAACATGCTGCTGCAGATCCCGAAGTACCAGGAGAAGCTCCTGAACTTCTCGAGCAGCAACAACGAGCTGACGAAAACCACCGCGTTTTGCTTTACCGACAAGTGCAATAATTTGACTGAGATTTCCGTGAAGTGCGAGCCAGCGGCGGTGCTGAACGTGCCTGACCTCAGCAGGGCTCTGGTCAAGGATATCACCGACAGCGAGATCACCTTTCTGTTGCCCGAGAAGGAGCTGACGTCGAGCCTCGATCTGGCCGAGAAGAGGCGCAAGCGGAAGCGGGAGAAGAACGCGGGCGCCATCGCGTGCAACTCGGACACGGAGGGCGAGGAGGAGACCAAGGACCTCGATCTTTGGATCACGAAAGGTCCCCCGGCCAAGCTGCAGTATTCCGACGAGAAATTGTCCTTCCTGGCCACGTTCGGCTTGACCACGCTGAATGTCAAAAACGGTAAGAGGATCGCGCCCTCATCCGAACGTTTCCTCTCTCTCTCTCTCTCTCCTCCTTTCGATCGACTAATGTCTCACGTGGTAACTTTTGCAGAGATAGAATTGTGTAAGGTCGAGAAGAGATTCAAGTTGAATCCCGAGCCCCCGCCGGAGCCACCTCCGGTGAAGGTAGAGCCCGTGGTAGAGTCCGTTTTACCGATTCCGCGCGAGCATCCGGACGTTTTACTTCACACGCCGGATTTCGAGCCGAAGGTCGGCTTTCTCAGGACTATAGGCCTCGACGTGATGCCTCCTAACAAGAGAGACGGTAAGATTCGATGATATGAATCACGAGATCTCTTTACCGGGCTGCCAAATGTCTTCTAAAGTTTATGTAAAGGTGTAACGTGTGATTACAGAGGCAGAGGAGACGTGGCAGTACGTTCTGCAAGACCGCAAGAAACGGAAAAGCGCGAACTCCGTTACTGCCTACTGTGAAAGAATCGCCAAAGTTTACTCTAAGAATCCTCCAGCTTTACCAAAACCGTCTCAGCAATTTCAAAAGATGCGACTTCTGGACAAGGTTAAAAAGAACCACATACCGGAACGCCCACCACCGCTACCGCCTTTAGTTCCGAATATTGTTTCGATGTGTTATCCTACTTTACCTATGCCCGGTGAAAACGGTGTGAAGCAACACTGTAAAACCGTAGACATCAGCGAGAGTACCGAAGAAATGAGCGAGAAGAAAGAGAAGTCGAAGTGGACCGGAATCGAGGATATTATGTACGCTTATAAAGAGTATTTGAAAGGTGCGTGTCGAGAATCCTCCGTTATACAATGTTACATTAGGGGTACCCATAAGTAAACTAGTGTTCACGGAAGACTCTAAAAATCGGTATTTCTACTCGAGCTACTGCGTAGGTGTATAAACAGTATTTTCCTAGTGTGTTACTCGCATAAGGTACTCGACTTATATATATATATACATATATATATCATTGATTACAAAAATAAAAGCTCTAATAGACTTTTACATTGTGTTTCATTTTGGGAAATACTTCACATTGCTTATGAGTACCCCTTCGTATGTGTTAATACATGAGCATCCCGATAATACGATATATAACGAGCCATCGCGCGTAATTTCCTGTCCTTTCTAGAGAAGGCATTGGAGAAGAGAATTCTGACAAGCGAAACATCAAAACTGGTGGCGCAGTCCAACATCTTGCGTTCCGAAACCATTCAGTTAGAACGGAAGATTTATGAGCTCCTGTCCGCTAGAACAGCCCTTGATTCCGAGAGGCGAAAGCTCAGTGACAAAATCGAACGGATCAAAGCACTCATTAGGAACCTTAGATAGCGTCGCGTAACGCACAACACGGAAACTCATTCATCTGTGATATTATCAGTGGGTTAAGGGCCGTTAGCCGCGTCAAGTACATTACCGTAAACATAATAAAACGTAACACTTAGATAAGTAACGGTTAAGGAGACGAGGAACTTTTCAGTGACCAAATGTA